ATCCCGATTACAAGTGTTCAAGCCGAGCGGGATTTTTCTTGTCTAAAACGGATAAAATCTTACTTAAGAAATACAATGTTACAAGATAGACTTTCTGCTTTGTCTTTATTTGCAATTGAAAAGGTGCTGTTGGTTACCCTTAGTGAGAACGAAGGGAAGTTTTATGATGACATAATTGATATAAATTTGCTATTCTTAAAGATAGACGAATAAACTTAACCTACAAGGAATAATTCTTATACAATAACATTTTTTAACTATTTTTTACTTGTTTGTTTCTTATTTATGTCGTCGCGTCGCGCGTCGTAGAGCTTGATGTGAGAAATTCCGTCTTACTAACCGAACGAAAACCTCAAATTAGAGCTGTTATATTACGATCATTAGATTAGTTAGCTAATACCTAATATATGTTTAAGTTATATTGTTTGTACTCTGAAGAAAAAAAAATAAAGAAACAATTCCGATGATGACTTTTTTAATAAGTTATGCTTACAAACTTATTATACCTGAGGAGCAAAAAAATCTCTAGCTTATTGTTGCTTAGCTGCTTAAAAAAACAAAAAGAAAATAAACACATAAAAACAAAAAAAAATTCTTATGACATTTTTAGTAAGTTAACCTTCAAACATATTATATCTGAGGAACAAAAAAAATTAAACTTGTTGCAGCTTAGACCCCCCCGTCTTTTTGTTTTCGTCCGCGTTTGCGTCGCCTCATCAGTTCTTCGGTCACGAACCGCTTACTGATTAATATATTACCGAAAATATATTATTATACCGAAAATCAATTAATATATTTTTATATGTTTTTTGAGTGTATGAACTATCGAATAAATTTCGGACCTATAGTCCGATCTCAATCTCAGACTTAGTTACAATTCAAACTTTGCTTTTAAAAGCGGCACGTTGCCGCTTGTAAAATAAATCATGAAAACTGGACCTTTTATAAACGCTACACAAACAGAATAATTGTATTTGGGCAAGATGATGATAATAAAACTTTGGGCCTTTTCTCCACCAACGTATACCGACTAGTTCAAATATTTGACTACTGATTACATTCTTTCACGAGAATATATACGTTTAATGTACACTAAATATGTATATACGAACCCGGAATGCCTGAAATCCTTTTATTTGATTTCGGTGACATGACAGAGAAGATATACACATAAGTATTTATGCCAGAACAAACAAAAATCTGTCATCTTTGGCTCAAATCTTAATATTTCTGAAATGTGTCATTATACTAGGGATATACAGGGTGTTTCAAAACAAATGCGAAAAACTTTAGGGGGTGATTCCTTGTTCAAAATAAAGGGTAGTTTGCTTTATAAACGTTGGGTCAAAAGTCAACCATTAGGGAGATATCGCGGTACAAAGATGGCGGAAAAATAATGTTTTTATTTTTTATCTTGAAAACGAAAAGAGATAGACTAATGAAATTTTATGGAAGCATTACTGTTATGAAAACACACTTTCAGGTAATTTTTTTACTTTTTAAAATGAGTGGAAGGGGTTGAAATAAACTACCCCTATCATTCTTGTTAACGAAATTTAAAGAAAAATCTTATCAAACACATGCAAATGCTTTAATTTGGATAGTTTAGTTTGTTTAGAAATTTTTACCTCTTGTGTTTTTTTGATAAAACTCACCGATTGGAAATTAAAAAATAAAATGTAAAGCATTACATGTCAGGACAAAAAACATTTTTAGATTAAGAATCTAGTGATAATAACGATAATAATAATCATCTAGATAATAACGCATTGCAGTAGAGTAACGTCAAATAAAATAATATTAGGAACATCCTAAAAAGTAACAACGGCCGATTAGATTTTTTCCTAAAAAAATTACAGCGGCCTACTAGATTCTTTATCAGAAAATGTTTTTTGTCCTGACATGTAATGCTTTACATTTTATTTTTTAATTTCAAATCGGTGAGTTTTATCAAAAAAATACCAGAGATAAAAAGTTTCTAAACAAACTAAACTATCCAAATTAATTTTTTTGCATGTGTTTGATAAGATTTTTCTTTAAATTTCGTTAACAAGAATGATAGGGGTAGTTTATTTCAATCCCTTCCACTCATTTTAAAAAAGTGAAAAAATTACCAGAAAGTGTGTTTTCATAACAGTAATGCTTCCATAAAATTTTATTACTCTATCTCTTTTCGTTTTCAAGATAAAAAATAAAAACATTATTTTTCCGCCATCTTTGTACCGCAATATCTCCCTAATGGTTGACTTTTGACCCAACGTTTATGAAGCAAACTATCCTGTATTTTGAACAAGGAATCAAACAGGGTGTTTGAAACACCCTGTATATATTAGGTTAAATTACATTCAAAATATTTAAGACTCTAAAAGGTACACCTATAATCGTACACCGAAAAAAATATATACTCAAATTTTCTGATATACCTGTTTTTTTTCAAGTATACCGCTGAACGGCGGTATTCTTTATATATTCATTTATCAACCGCCATACTTAAAAAAATCACCTCGTTGTTCGGCGGTATCGAGAGTGGTATTCATGTTAATAAATATCTTAAACCGTCTAACACCGGTATTTCTTTCATCAATAGTCTATACCGCAGGCGCGGCGGTATAATTTAGTCAGTTTCTTTTAATTAAATGTCATTAACATTATTCATATTAAATTTCTTGTCTAATTTCCTATTTTTTTATAAATTTCGGCTAAGATAAAAGACCAAAACAGTTGCTTCAATGAACAGCCAAAAAAAAACAGGCATAAATAAATTTATATTTTATGTGATAGTTTTCGGACAAGGCATATAATAAAAAAAAAGCATAAAACGGTCATCTCCTAATAAATAATTTATGAAAAAATCACTTGTTTTATAAATTATTTATGCGCGTGGGCTTATATTAATGCGAGTATGGACTACCTTTTTGGAGAGTCGTTACATAAGGCAGACTAATTCGATTCTAATGGCTGTTCGCTACGTTATTTATGTGTTAATTTAGCTTCCCCACTTTGCATATACCGGTAAAAATCTTCGATTAATTATTAGAAGCTTCGTATAATTAAAAATTAAATAAAAAAAGAAAAGAGAAAAAACTAAAAAATTAACAAAATCAAACAACAAAATACTAAAAAATATTATCAAAAAAATAATATAAGAAAAAATGAAACAAATTTAGAAAACACTAACTAAAATAACTGACTTGTTTTTACATGAGACTTTTTGTTGTTCACTTTTTTTTACAAGATGTATACAGGGTTGTTCACCACATACGACACGGAGTATTGTAGCTAAACGATGAGATTTTTACAAATTGTAAGTTTTGGGTTCGATGAAGGACAATTTACAAATAATTTTACAAGATACAGAGTGTCCCAAATAAGTAAAAAATATCAAAGTTGTATTTTTTTAAATGGAACACCCTGTATATTATTACATTTTTAGTTTCTACGATTGAAATAAAGGTAAATTTGATTAAGGTTTATTATACTTAAACCTTGCCGTTTTTGAAATATTTTCAATTTTGTGAAATTGCAGTAAAAATTTTAAGGGTTCATTTCTCCAAGGGTATCTAAGTTTTTAATACTAAATATTTACTGAAGTTTATTTACTGATCAGTTATTGTGTTGCAATATTAAAAATAATACTACCTTATACAGAGTGTCTAAAAATTTATTTTAAAAAATTATTAGCTTCAAACGGCAATAACTTGTTTAATTTAAATGGAACACCCTGTATATTTTACGAGAGTCAGATGCACAATTTAATTGCCTATCAAATTATATTATACCATTTTTTACCTATCTCTTTAAGTTTCCGTAGAAAACGCATTTTCTTGTAATTTAGAATTTATTTATCAATATACCCATGGAATACTGACATTAAGAAATATATTTTTTTGAAAGAAGATTTTTTTGTCATGAAAGATTCACGAAATTTATAATTTCAGTAATAGTTTATTACCTATTTACACAAAAAGATTTTTTATTAAATATTAAAGAAAAAAATACCAATCATAATATGCGTCCTAACGCACCATCCAAATATGCTTAAAATTCCAAATTATTATTAATTGAATGTAGCTAAATACCGTATAACCAAATAAAAACGGCGTTCAGTTGGTTTGGAAATGATCGATGACATACCCCATATAATTTTGCATACAAAATGACAGCGATGTACATTTCAACTAGCCATCTCTCACGCCGTTTTTTTTCGATCGTATGGTATTTTAAGTATAAAATATAAAAGATTTTAAACCACTTGACCAATAAAATATACCTACTATAAAATATGTTAAAAAAGGTGTTAAAGAAATCTATCAGTCGAATAAAATTATTGACATGTTAAAAAATATAAACAAAGACAAAAAATACACTTTGTATAGTCTCTAGTACAGTAAATTTTACTGATTTTTATGGCATTTTTTCTATTCCAGAATCATATTGAAATGAATTTTAGTAAAAATTAATTTCAATGTGGTAAAAAGTGTATGAATTAATTTTAAGAATATATACTCAAATTTGCTTCGTTTATATGTGTGAAAAGTGGAAAATTTAGTGTTCTAGAAGCATTTGAGTCAATTTTTTTTTGTTTTTGAGTTAATAAAAATAAATTTTAAAGAGAAAATTTAAAAAAGATTATATAAAAATACATTCTTAAACAAAAATCAGCAATATCTTCTCTAAATACATTTACTACCATAAACTGTTTGCATCAATTTTATATCACTATTAATATTGAGTACCTAGTGAAAAGTACTGCAAATTTACAGTAAAAATAATATTTAAAATAAAGTATTTTGACTATAATGTTATTTACCAAACAAGCATAAAAAATACATGTTTCTACAATAAAATATGGAAGAACTCGCAAACCAGTTATGAAATATAGTAGTACTACAAAAAATAATAGTCAACTGTATTAAATATATCAAGAAAATGGTTTGAAAACATCTCATTTTACTTTTTCAAACATAAGATTTATAAAAAAATGTTATTATTAGACTTACCTATACAGTTCAGTACGTTCACTAGCCAAAATACGATCAAAAGTACCCGAAAAACTATCCCGTGCAAATCCAGCTCGTACTACAATAGAACCCTCTAAGTGAAAGGTCGAAAAACTACTGCTCTTAGACTCTAAATTGCTTCTGTACCAATCTACGAATGGTAGTCCAATGGTTCACAGTGGTTCACTTAAGAAGTCGTAACAACGGGTTTGCCCCTGTGCCCGCGCTCGCCCGCCGATGGTACTGCCTACCGTGGTGCGCCGCGTCCTAACGCACCAGTACCCAAAGGCCAGGTTCCCCTGCGAGAAAAGACTGGAAGCCGCCTAAAAGACGCGGGAATCTCGACCTTATAGAGGTGGACTTAGAGGTGGTACGGCCGGTATGCGGTACGACGGTTGATTAAGTTTTTAAAATGAGTCGTTTTACCACCGGGTTGCACTCGTCTACCATTGGTGTGGTACTGTTTAGGCTAATTATAGAGAGATAAGTGTTGGAAGAAGGAATGGAATGTTGGCTGGGTCTCGAGGAGTAAAACGAGGAAGATTTTTGAAGTACCGAGACTTTTGTTGAAGGTAGAATGGTATGAAGAGTATTTATGAATCAAAATGTCACACGTAGACTTATGTTGAAGTCGCCAAAAAACTATTGTTTTACTCAATTTAGTGAATAATAGTATTAACTAAATCTCGAGACAATAATGAAAACTTTCCTCCGAGGTTAGAATCAATTGAGGGAAAAAACTGACATATCAAAATATCACAAACTCGTCGCTTTTTTAAAACGCCAGAATGTAGGTTTTAAGCCAAAAAAGCCTAGCATTTGTTCCAGGCAAAAATAAATGTATTAACATCTTCAATTATTATTGTTAATCTTCTTGTTTATTTTTGTTGATGTTAGATAAGTATTTAATAAAAATATTACAAGAATATCTTGCTTAATTAAATGAAGCGAGAAATAAGAAAAACCAAGTGAGGGAAATGAGTGAGGGAAATGGATGAGGGAAATGGGTGAGGGAAATATAAAAATAAAAAAATATTTAATTTACACATACATAAATATATTTTACCCAATTAGTAGTAAGTAAAATAATACTAATTTATTTAAGGAACTAATTCTAAACTTTTTAGTACCTCTACAACTTCTTTGGTATAGATCTAGATTCTTTATATAAATAATTATTATTAAAAGTACTTTAATAATAGTAGATATTATATAGTATGCTTAACGAGAGCATACACCATTTTAATGGATTGAATGTTGTCTGATGGATTTCAAAGAGTAAAAGAAAAATATTTTCAAAATATTTTAGTCAGCGTTGTGATTTGTTAATGTTTTTTGTTTGTTCACAGGTTTATGTTAAAATCGACTAAAAATATATTATTTTTATAAATTTAGGCAACTAACTAAAGGCTCATTTACCTACATTTATCACTTTAATGATCATCTCGGAGAAAGATACCTACTAAAAAAAAATTAAAGAAAAAAGTTGTTCATCATCTTCCTATACCAAGAGAAGGGTCACTTTTTGTTACAATTTTTTAAAGTTGGAAGAAATATTTGCACAATACCGTATAATCGAAAAAAACGGCGTCCAATTGGCTTGGAAAAAAACTTCGATGACATTCCCCATGAAATTTTACATATAAAATGACAGCGATCTTCATTTCATAGCCCTCGTTGACGCCTTTTTTTCGGCCATATTGTATTACAGTATTTACAAGATAAAAACTAAATATTGAGAGGTCCTAAATGGTTTATATTATTTATAGTATACTACTACAGTATTATCATGTTTTTGGTACAATTTTCTTAAATACTGGAAACTCCAAAATTAGGTTTTATTTCCGGTTCCATAAAATTGAGTGATAACTGGTAAGTAAGAAGATAGAACTTGTCTAGACATTATCCGTGTACTTTTTACTATCCTAAAATAAAATTTAGACTTTACAGCAACTACGTGCTGAATGTCTATTATAAAAACCTAAGTCTTTCCTCGAATTTTTCACTTATAGTCATAAAATGTCACGACAAAATTAAAACACTTCGCTACTCTATAGGTATAGGTAAATAATACACTATTTTTAAGTATCTACCTATAGAAAAAAAATTGCTTGTGCACTATGTATACCGGGTGTTGCATCGTCAAGCGGGACATAGGAAATCCCATGTAAATTGTAATGGGGTCAATTATTGGCTTCCCTAATTATTTTAGAGAATAATTCTATTTAGGTTTATTGAAAAGCACTAAAACCCACATTGAAAGGAATAACTTTAGATATTTTTGATAAGCCCGTTTACGAGTTATCGCCGATTTCTTTTTAAATATTTCTCCTTTCTTATGGCCCTGTATTTACTGATGAGCACCAGTCAAGGTAAAAGATAACTGTCAAATGAAGTTGTCATTTCAGAATTTTATCTATTTAGTGCTTTATTATTATTATTAAAAACTCATAGCTACATCGAAAATATCATATAGCCATGAATTACACTACCGAAGAAAAAGTATTGATGATTAAATGATATTATCAAGGAAATAGTTATCAAAAGGTGTAGGAGATGTTTGCTGCTCTGTATCCGAATAGATCGATACCTGGAAAATCTACAATCGCAAGGAATATCCAGATATTTGAGACCAAAGGTACCCTAATAAATAACTGCAGATGTGAAGCAAAGCAGGTACCAAGAGAAGATGCAAGAAATGATACTGACTTGGAAGTTTTATTGTGCGTGGAAGAGAACGATGGAAAGATCAGCACAAGGAAACTTGAGGATGAAATAGGAATAGATCACACTACAGCGTTTCGAATTTTGAAACGACATAAATATACTATTCCTTCAAATATGAAAAGCACCAAGAGCTACGAGATGGGGACGAAATACGGCGGCAGGCGTTTTGTTTTGATATATGATGGAAAGAGCAAACATGGATAGGGAATTTTTAAAAAACATATGTTTCACTGACGAGTGCACGTTTACCTTAAATAATGAATCCAATGTTCAAAATTATCGATATTGGAACAAAGAAAATCAACACAGGTTTGTCGAAACAAGGACGCAATATCCACAGACACAATATTATCGGGCCATTATTTCTTACGCGAAATTTAAATGCAGAATATTATTTGGAACTACTAGAAAATCATATTTTACCTGCTTTACATGTTGCCGCTAGGGAAAATCAGGAAGTTTGGTACCAAATGGATGTCTGCCCGGCACATAGTACCCTAGCTGTTCGGGAATATTTAGACAATAGTTTTAACAGATACGTTATTGGTCTAAATCATACAGTAAATTGGCCAGCAAGGTCTCCTGATATTTCGCCAAATGATTCCTTTCTCTGGGGCCATTTAAAAAACAGGATATACAAGGATAAAAAATACCCAAATCTAGACGAGTTAAAAAATGCTATTTCTAGAACCTAACTATATGTCCCTCCCTCAGATGTCCTTAATATCGCATTAAAGAATAGACACCGTAATGATTCATTCGAACTTTCGAGAAAAAACGAGTTTCACTGGAATGGAGTAGTAGATACGAGAACATTCGAAACCTTCTCTATGCACCTTAATGATTTATGGACTATTCGAGAAACTCTTTAGCTGTGGGTATAAAATCCGACGGCTGGGGATAGGCTGGGGCCTGACGAGGACAGACATAAATAGACGAGTACAGTTGACGCGCTAAAATTCAAAATAAATTCTTTCTATATAAATAGTTATAAATCGTTTGTAAATAGTTCTTTAATTCTTTTATCGTTATTGTTTTTGTTAATTAGTGATAAATAAATTGTGTTTAAATAAATTGTGACTTTCTATCCACACGGAACCGACGAAAACCGTAACAATATTTTATGTAAACGGATGGGAAACGGAAGGTATAGTGAGAATCAACCTTTATTCGTTCAAAAGGAAATTAGAGCAAAACTGATACATGAATGAAACGAAGTAGGCTTCGTACAAAACCCAGATGGGCGTAAGTGAGCTAAGGCCCCTTCGACACCAGCGCGCCGACGACTTGGCCGCCGCCGCCGTTGGTCGGTTCGAGTGCGGCTGCCACCGAATTGGAGCGCTACCGACCAATAAGCCGACCCGCAGCCGCGTACATCCGGTAGCCGAAAGCGGCTAACGGATTGGGTGGCGGCGAGGCGCAAAGCTCGGGCTACCGAATGTTGGTGCATGTCGCTCTTCGGCCGGAGGACGCAAAGGCGTATCGTGTGAAGCGGAGGGAACGAACAAACGCGACAGTCGCTCTTGAAAAGAGAACCTAGGCGCAGTTTTCTTTGGTCCTTATTTTTTTCTCCAAGTTATCATCTTAAGCTACGTTGTTTTTTAACTGTTCGTATCACCGCGATTCAAAGAATGCCGAAAGAACCTGAACAAATTCGACAAAAAAAAACAAAGTCCCCTATTCGCTTGCCATAACACTCCACTAACTGGATGAGAACCGTTCTGCTTCATATTAAGTGGATACCGATTTAAAGCAGAACTCAGAAACCTGGGAGACTCCATCCGTAACCTATAATAGGAATCCTCCAACGGTCTAAGAAACTTCTCAAGACTTAGGTTCGGTCAGGTTATAGGTTGGTGGGATTTGGGATCATATGTTTGATCCCTCTCTCGGAAGCCTCGAGCCCATTGCGATACCCCGATTGTACCAAACCTTCCTCTCATTCTTTCTTTGCATTAAAGCACTTCCAACTCTTTGCAAGTTCCCGATGTCGCTGATGTTGGCTTCTGCTGCTTCCCTTAGTCCCTCCAAAAAAACCATGCCTAAAGTTTTAAATCGTCGGTTTTGGCACAGCAGGTGCTCGATGGTTCTATTTCTTCTTCTTCCTCCCGCATTCTTTGCAGCAGTCGTCGTTGGAAATCTTCCATCTCAGGAGGTGGGACAGTTTCCAGTGACGACACTTACAATTATGCGTACCAAGTTCTTTTTGTGCTCTAGTTGTTGTTTTGTCTTTTTGCTATCTACCACTGGCCACAGCCTTGGAGCTGTAGCGCAGTCCTCACGATGTTGCCACGTCTCTTGCTGCTTGGCCTTGATGGTAGTTCCTATTGGACAGTCGCTTAATATTGAGCGAAAAAAATCACCGCCATTCGAAACGTCGATCGTGTAAAAATCGCCGAAAACAAAAAAAAAAGCTTGAAGTCAGCTACTACCGTCTCAAAGATCTATATACTGAGTATTTGTACCTCTGAACGAAGAACGAATACTCAGTATACATATAGACAATGTTCAAAACCGTCGTGTTGAATATCGTTGATAGCGAAGAACGAGATTGGTCTTAATATTGCATAAACAGCAAGACCATTAGCGGTAGATCTGCAAGGCCAAGACCGGC